CAGCTCAGGGAGGCCACCCTTCATTTATTTTATAAGCTCATTATCAGTAAACTTAGGGAACAATGCTGTCTGATTCCTAGGTCTTTGACCTGTTAATGTCACAGGCTTTTAGCCCTTGGCTCCCTTTCTGGAAAATTCCAGAACTATATAAAAATCATTTCTAAAATCCCGATAGACACGTTTTGCCAAGAATGTCAGTTATCTCTTGACAGTTTGGCATTAACCTTTAAATATTAGATTGTGTAATCATAATGCCATTCAGGAAAAATAAGGTGGTGGGTGGCTGGCATTTTAAAAAATGAAATGAACTTGGGCTCCTGGGAATCATTATTCTACTGAAAATGCTGATAGTCCTTAATAGTGAAATGCTAAAAAGGTAAAAAGCAGTATTGTGGGAATAACTTAGATCACAGGTGAGTAAAATGTGGTTTTATGGGTTTATTTAACATATATTTACCAGGACAGTATCTGAATGATATTTTCTGTGTTCAAGCTTTGAAACTGAGAAAGTAATCAAGACACCTTCTAGTGCCTTCTAGGGAGTTCCCGCCAGTCTACTAGCCTGACCAGCACGTCTCAGAAATAGATCGTTATTTTTGTCATTGTAACCTGCCTTCTCATTTGCCTTCCTTCCTCATTTGCCCTTGACTTTGCAGCAGAGAGGAGAAAGAAACTCATGGCCTCTACCATAAATACACGTGGTAACAGCAGTCAAGTAATTTTATATTTTTTGTGGGCAAGTCATTCATTCGTGGTGATGAAATGGCTTATTTTTAATGCAGTGTTTTTCTTTAAACTTATATTCCTTTTTTCCATCTGATTTAGTTGTCTGTACCATTCTAAGGCAGCATAAATTTAGCACAGCTTCTTCATTTTACCAACTTGGTAGGAGTTTTAAAGGTTTCATTCAGTTTACTTTTAGTTTTTCATATGAAATGGGCTATAAGAACTCTTTAATTTATAGTATAATGTGTAATTAAAGACAGACCCAGTATATCTGACAGGAGGATTGTACCAGGGATCGTGGGAAAGGGGAGGTTTGGAGCATTGACTTCTAATCTCATTTGAACATGACTGTTGGGAAAGGAGAATTTTCTTTGGAAAGTAGATAAAAGCATGGACTAACTCTCAGATCACAAAATGGAGGAAACCCAGATTTATTGCATCCATGTAAAGGATAGAAATATCTTCAGTTTCCTGGAAAAGATATCCATGTGGATAACTCATAATTTTAAATGATTGATTAAGAGTAATTGCTATCCATCAATGCTGTTCATAGCGAATTAGTTCTGACTAATGGGGAATGCCGCTTCTACAGATTTTTAGATTATAAAATTAGTTTATGACTTCTTTTTGTTAAACTCTTTGAATCTTCTACCTTACTCTCTTCTTTCATTATCCTTGTGAATTTATTTGGTTTTGTCTAATGAGTGGGATGTCTTTACCTGTATTACTTTATTCGGTTGCCTACTTCTGGATACCTCAAGTTGAGCAGAAACGTACATTGGAGGAGCTCTGGCTGTGGAGAGGGCACCAGTAAACACTAGTGGACTTAGTGGCAGCCTGTTGTATAAAATGGTTTATAACCCATTTAATCAGTTCCTTTTGATAAATACTTAATTTTCATTTTTAAATTTCACATATTCCAGTAAACATATTTGCACGTTTCAGATACACTTTGTCTTTTTTGCTAAACAAGAGCATGTATGTGAAAAGTCCACAAATCTGTGTAGCTCAGTGATAAATGGAACAATAGATGTTTAATCAGCACCCTAGAAGTCCCCCTCCAACCACTTCGCAGTGATCACAGTCCCCACTAGGGTAACTCATCCTAATTTCTAACACCACTGATTCATTTAGCCTGTGTGAAATGTGTATAGATGGAATCATATCATGTGTGCTCTTTGGTACCTGGTTTCTTTCACTGTAATAGCTGGGGGACTCATAAACTTAAGTGTTGCAATTCATTTTTTATTGCTGTGCAGTATTCTGTTGGGTGACAACCATAGTTTATCCTTTTTATTGGTGATGAGCCTTGGGTAGTAACCTCAGTTCTGGATACTGTAAGTAGTGCTGTGAGCGCTCTTAAACCTGTGCTTGGTGGTCATAGTTATGCCTACCTAGTGGGAGTAGTGCTCTTGGGCAGAGGGTGTGCATGTGTGTAGTGTTCTACACCAATTTTCCAGAGTGGTGGAAACTGTATCACACTCCCACCAGCAGCGTCTGGTTATTTTCTTAAAAAATAACTTCATAAAAGTAAAATTTGAATAAAAGAATAAATTTATTTTGAGTTTTGGAACACAGTGCTAAATTTATCCTCAGGAATAGGAATTTTTTTTTTTAAACAATTTTTTTTTAAGATTTTTATTTATTAGAGAGAGAGCACGTGAGAGGGGGGAGGGTCAGAGGGAGAAGCAGACTCCCCGCTGAGCAGGGAGCCCGATGTGGGACTCGATCCCGGGACTCCAGGATCATGACCTGAGCCGAAGGCAGTCGCTTAACCAACTGAGCCACCCAGGCGCCCAGGAATAGGAATTTATACTCCACTGAACACTAGGTTTTCATCAGCTCTTTCATCTTTATCAATTTATGGTGAACAATGTCTTCTTTTTAAACTAATGAGTTAAACTTCAGCTTAATTTTGTTCATTTTGTTTTCTGGCCGTTCTGGTCTTTGTCAAGGTATTTCTAATTTTTCTTTTCTCTTTTTTTTTTTTTCAAAGGAAGGGAGGAGCAGAGCAGTGAGAGAAAAGGGCTGGGCGGGGAGAGAGAGATTCTTAAGCAGGCTCCCTGCCCAGTGCAGAGCCCAACTCGGGGCTCCATCTCACAACCCTGAGATCATGACCTGAGCTGAAATCAAGACTCAGACACTTAAACTGACTGAGCCACCCAGGGGCCCATTTAATTTTTCTTACTGCTTTGTAATAACCTTTTATGTTTTAATTCACATTCTTTGGAATGTCATATGCTATAATTTTATTCTTCTTAGTTTGTTTTAATTTTGTCTTTTACAGTATAAAAGTTTTAAATGTGTGTGTGTGCTTGTCTCTGCTCATCTTTTCCTCTCTGGCTTCTGGCTTTGGTATCACTCTTAGGAAAGGCTTTTCACCCCAAGATTATTTTTTAAAGTCTGTTTTCTTCAAGGGCTTTATTATTTTTATTTAATTTTGTTCATTGTAACTAGATTTAACTTCTAACTCAAGGTGATTTTTTGTTTTTTGTTTTAAAACAAATTTTAACCTGTTGTACTTTTATTTATTACATTAGCATTAGCTTTGGAATATTTTGCTGGGTGTCAGAGGGTGACCGGTCAAGAAGAATTTAGTACAACATGCATGTATGTGTCATTTGACCAAGTGAGAAATGAAGCCTGTTTTCCAGCATGGATACTATTTGAGTCCTTTCAGTGTGTGTGCTATTAAAACAGCTTTCATTTAGAAAAGAATGAGATCAGATTAGCATAGACTAAATTGTCTTAATTAAATATCTCTAGTGGAGATTGTTCAAGGCTTTTTTTTTTTTTTTAAAGATTTTATTTATTCATTTGAGACACACAGAGAGAGAGAGACAGCATGAGCAGGGGGAGAGGCAGAGGGAGAAGCAGGTTCCCTGCTGAGCCAGGAGCCTGATGTGGGGCTCAATCCCAGGACCCTGGGATCACGACCTGAGCCGAAGGCAGATGCTCAACCATATGAGCCACCCAGGTGTCCCTGTTCAAGGCTTTTGAGTAAGGACTTTGCCAAAAGTACACCCAGCCCCTCTGTTCTGTGGCCTGTAGGACAGAGGATAGGAGAGCCAAATATGTAATTTCATATCTTTAAAAATATTTCTCTTTGTAAGAGAACATTTAAAAATTTCTTTGGCTTCTTTGTCTTTGGTATAATAGTACTTGTAGTTAAAATGTGATTTGCACTGCTGATGGAGAAAGGTGAGACCAGTTTATCATGTCTGGTTGTTTGGGGTTTTCTTGTTTAATTTCATTGTGAGATTTGAGGGCCCCCCAAAGCCCCGCACCTAAAATTCCCAAGTTGTTATTTGTTTAGACCACAAAGCAGAAATCTAAAACAGGTACATATTAGACCAGTAGCCCTCTTCTCTACTGATAAGCGTTGGTTTGGCTTTTAGAGTTGAATCTTAGTAGTTAAACATATAAGAGTCTCAGGGACGGATAAGTTTCTGAGGAAGAGAACACACAAGTGTTACTCCTGTGATTAGAGCCCCAGAACATGCCAGAAACTAGAGGCCAGTCTAAGTAGGGAGAGAGGTTTGGAAGGGAGGGAAAGAGAGGTGAAAATAAAGACTACAGACAAGGTTGACTGATTGGTTTTGTTGCTCTTCCGCATTTAACAGTACCTGTAGCAAGGTGGTATCATTAATTATTTGATTATTCTCTAAGCCAGGGGGAAAACATGTGGGGACTTCGCTTAAGTAAATTCATAATTTTAGGAGCATAGTATTTCTAATTTAGGAGAATCAGTATTTTGCTAAGTTTTTGAATTTGACTAAAGGGAATAATGGAGTTTATGTTAAAAGGTTCACTAGCGGTAGATGGGGAGGAGAGACTACAGAGGGGAGAAAAAACTAAGTGCCTATTTTTGACTTACATTATCTATAAAATGCAGTTTACATGTTTTACATACTTAACCCATTTAATCCTCACAGAAATCCTATGAAGTGCTGTTTCCTGATGGACAAAGATAACAAAGGCTTGGGGAGTGAGCTTACATTATTATGTTGTGTAGGCTCACAAACCCAATACATCTTGCTGCTTGCTAAGTCCTGGGATTTGAACACCAGTGTCTGATTCTAAAGTTCATTCACATTCTTTTCATAAGAGTGTATATTCCCTTCTAAATGACCAGAATGACTATGTATATTTCATATTTTATCAGTTTCATATCAAATGTTGGTAACACTTTACATAGCATATCTTGGGGATATCATCTTTAGTTCTTCCAGGTAATATAGAGCCTGTGTACTTTCCTTTACCTTCCACCTTAGCATTGAGAGTAAGCATGAGGTTACGATCCTGGGAGGACTCAATGAATTTGTAGTGAAGTTTTATGGACCACAAGGAAGTAAGTACACGTGTTCATATGTGTTCTTCTTTTTCAGTTTCTTTTTTTCTCTACTCATTAATAGGTAATTAGAATATCAGTGGAGGTATGTGTAGTAGTTGAACGGTAAATTTAACGGAACTCTAGAACCAGTAAGGAAATCTTGCTCTTACCATAATTACTTCATATGCTTTTCTCTTTTATCTCTGTGTGACAGTATTAAACACAAATTGTGAGTACTGTTTTTTTCTTTTTTGTGTTATTAATGAGTGGCAACATGGATGGTTTTGGGGAAATTGTTTTTGGTGGGGGTGGGTCAATGGGGCAGATTGAAATAGGAGGCTGTTAATTACGAACTAATTAGTGTTTAATACTTTAAAAAATCAGGTAAACATAGGGGAGAAATGAATCTTTGCTTATTTTCGAACACTACATCTTTTAAAGTAAAGTACTTTAATCTGAACATAGAATACCTACTGATTAAGAGGTCCCTGACTCTGAAGGAATTAATTTGCAAGGTTTTCAAAAGATTTAGGATTTAATGTTTCACTTACGCTCGGGTTTATGTTTTAATGTGGAGGCACAGTTGTAATGTTTAACATTTTTACTTTTATTTCAGCACCATACGAAGGCGGAGTATGGAAAGTTAGAGTGGATCTTCCTGATAAATACCCTTTCAAATCTCCATCTATAGGTATGTAATACTCAGTTTCTCCCATTAGAGAGTCTTGAAAGCAAAGAGAAAAGGAAAAAAAAAAATCCTACATTTTGTGGGAGATAACTTCAGAAATGGTTTCTTAACCAAAGCCTAAAAAGGAAAAACTCACTATCAGTGACTTTTTGTGGGACTTCACGGTGTGACAGATGATGAAATATACCCTTTGCATGATTGTAATGATTATAACTAGATTTTCCTGTCAGGGTCAGATTAAATGATTTTAAGGCCCACTGTCTATTCAGGCTAAGCAGTAAAATAATAAACATATAAATCTCATTTTAATTTCTAGATTGTTGGAATTAATGTTACATAGTGTTCATTCTAATTCTGTCATTTAAAAATCCTCTCTAGATCCTCCTTTGCTTTTGTTCACTTCCAACTGTGAAGTGAAATCACCCTTTTCCGCTCTCTCTACTCCTCATCCTTTTAGCCCCCTGAACAGCTGAAGAAAGTAGAGTAGGAGCCTCAGTGGGATTGTATAAAGAGGTACTTTTTTTTTCTCCTTCATCTTCTCTCTGCGCTAATTGGTGATATTATTAACCCACCACCCCCATTAAGGCACTTACTGACAGTTCAGGCGTTTCAGCATCAGATGCTATCTAGGTACATCCGATTGAAGGTTGACACCTTTTTAAAGGTTTTGAGATGGTGGAATGGTAGTAACTCAGCTAACTTAAGCCAGGTTTTAAAATTTTCATTTTAAAGATGAGTCTGAACTATAATAAAATATTGACCAGTTTTAAGAAAGAAGAAAAAAATGAAATTGGAATATATTATGCCTTCTCAGACAGTCACATTGGACCTTGTGGTCAGAATTGCCAGGGTCCATACGTCTTGCTGCTGCTACGGGCTTGTCTTTGGAACTAATGCCAGGTTCTCTTGGCGTTTAGACACCACCCACCCCACCCACCCTCCAACAGAAAGGTTTTTTGTTTTATTGTTTTGTTTTCTAAGGAGGTGGTCCTCCGCTTTATATTTTGATTCTAGGCCTCCACATTTCTGTCTAAGATAAGTAATGTGGAAAAGGTAGGATCATCCTCAAATGAAGCAGGTTCTCTTCCACTATCTGGCTACCCTGCTGCTCTCAAGCTTTGCGCTATACAGAGATTCCTTCTTAATGCCAGGAACTCTTGGTGTTCATTTTAAGAATAAGTTGATTTCCTTTTAAGGTCCCTTGGATGATTTTTCTAAGCTCAGGAATGGAGAAGATTTCTTTCTGAATGATTGAATTGGAAATTTCCCCCTTGCTGCAAGGGTCTCTGAGTTGTAGGGTTATCAGCTGGTGAAATAGGAAGGGAGCTGTGAGATAATCCCCAAGTATATCTGACTTAATACCTGTAGGGTTGGAGCAGCAGTCCTTCCCAGTTCATTCCAGAGTGATGGAATGTGGTGTTACTCAGCTGGGGGCAGGGGGGGGACTTTTCTGTTGCATTGTGGTCGTCTGTCCCCCGTTGTTCCATTCTTTCTAGACAGGCATTTGAACTTTTGTGTAGTTGAGTGGTCTGATCTTTAAATCTTTACAGATGGAATGTGTAAACCATATAAATTCATTCAGATAAATTTCTTATTATGTCTATTTGATTAGAGACTAAAAATTGGCATGCTGAATCTAGTTTTGAGCCCTAAATTCCTAGCCAGAAAGAAAACAATATAGCTGTTTAACAGTGAACTATGTAGAAAAGCAATTACATATCCTATAGAAATGGATTTATTTCTCAAGCCTTATTAACAGATTTTTTTCCAGACAATGTAATTATTTCATCATAACTTTCAAAGTAAACATGTCTAAACTTTAGGCATTGTTTATTTATTCACTAATGACACAGCAGATGCCTATGTACTTTCTTAAATTAATGATGTAATATGAAATTGCTTCGGACAAATGACTAGGCTGATTTAACTTCTTCCTGATTTTGCTCTTGCCTTTCTGTGTGCTTTCAGAACTTGGTTATACGTACAGATGTGTGCCATCTTCTCGTAGGGAAGTAGGTCTGGTTTGTACAAGCTCTGCTTGTTTCCTCCAAAGGAACATTGCATAAAACGGTTATAATCAGTTGGGGGGGGTGACCCATTTTCAGGTCATCAACAATGTAATACTGTTGAATTTGCTTTAAACATTTTGAGAGAGGTAGTGGCTCATTTAGAATAGGCAAGGTTTCCTTTTTGAGTTGTATGGGTAGTGGTAGAATTATATAGAAGGGCAAGGAGTTGAGATAAACCCAGCCTTAAGATTCTTTTTAAATTCTGCCTCTCTAGTATCTAGGCATACCCTTCTTCCTGAGCCAAATTTTGAGCTCTTAAATATTAAGATGTGCAAATCTAGATTAAGCTTCCTTACTGCTTAGATCTTGGAATGTGTGTGTGTGTATATGTTTGATCTTTTATTTATTGTATAAATGCTCCATATTCTTAGTAGGAATATAAGAAGGTCCAGGTGACCAAAAATAAAGAAAAATTAAAGTTGTCTCATAATCCTGTCCCTCAATGGATATCATCATTTACATTCTGGTATATGTACTTTAGAGCAATTTTCTATGCATATTTCAGTATATATTCAATGCTATTTGACATGCTCATCTTTTGGGGTATCCTGTAAATAAGTTTTAGAGAGTTTTCAGTAGTTACATGATTGCCTGAGTTATAACTAAAAATAATCCTTTAAAAACAATTGATACAATTATACAAGTTTTTTTTTTCTTTCAAAATAGCAATAAAGCTATCTCAAATTATCTTTGGGAAGAGAAGGAATATAAACAGACTATTTGCAGAAGGACTACAAAGAGGTTATGAACTTTCTAAATGCCATCATTATTTCAAACATCTTAAGCTGATCTTTTGGAATGTTATATTCTTTTTGAGTATCATTAGTGATAATGTTTATGAAATCATCTTGATGCTTTGAAGCTGGATATAAGTTTTTGAAATGGCTAAAGGTCATTTAATTTCACAGAATAAGATGAATGGAAAAACTGAGTGACATCCAGTTGGAGTGTAAAATGATATATGATTATTAAATTGGCTTAAGTTTAAGGATTAATGATTTTCTGGGGAACTGACCCTAATGGCTCTTTCGGAAGAGAAATTATAAAACTTCTCTAATCAGTTGTAACATCAGTGAGATATTTGCATAGCTTTTCAGAGAGACTGCTTTGAAATAAATCATATTTGAATCTTTAAGTTCTGATTTATTCAAAAGTTCAGACTTTTATCTTTTTCATTTAGAAGCATTCCTGGAATGCTAGTGCTGTGCTGCTGGTGTGACCAGCTGTGTAGTTCGGAGAGTGTGCTTGATCAGTGGACTGGTATCAGGAAAGAATGCTACTGGCCCTGGTTTTCCTTGACCAAGAAAATGATACTCACCTGAACCATTGTTTCCTTTTCTAGAAAATGAGATATTAGAATTAAGTGAACTCTGCATGTTTGATATTGACCAATGTATTAGATACTCAGGATAGATGGCATTCTTCCTAGTAATTAGGAAGGTCACAGGAAGCTCTCACTAGTTAGGAGAGAAGACCAACATAAATAAAATATTGCATGGGCTTTAGTGACAAGATTTCATTGCTTTCGAGGAGAGGTGTGAGTTAGTGCCTCAGTTGGTGAAGAGAGTGTATGGAAGGAGATCGGCTTTTACAAGAAAGATTTTGTTTCATGTTTTGAGAATATAGTTTTTAGAAAGCTTTCAGAGATGTGAAGATGCGCATAAGGACTTTAGAAATAACACTCTTTGAAAATCCCAAGTAATCCCCAGTCCGTGAAGATTCTGTTTTATGCAGGGAAGTTGCTCCAGAGACTGCCATATGCCATACTTCCCCAGATTGTCTCTAGCATGCGCTCATCTATTAAGAGAATGCTTTTACCAGTAAGAGAAAACACAGACTTGCCGTTGCTGTCAGGGTGAAATAAAGATGAGGGATCCCATATACGAAGAGGGTAAATTAGATCAGTTTTGAATAAAAACTTAAAAGTAACCAATAAGCATAGGATACAGAATGGTTTTATGTCTATTCCAAAGAGTGCATGTTTTAAAAAGTGGGAGATACAGGATTTGTCACACTGGCAGGGAAGATGTAGCCAACTTAGCAGTATATGTTGATTGATGAAGATTTTATATCCTTTTAGTCATTTTACTTAAATTCTCTTAAGATTCAGAGATGTGCACTAAGATTAATGTACAGGAGTATGCAAATTGCAGTGTTATTCTTAAGACTTTTATTTTTAAAACTTTGAAACAAACTAAGTGACCCAATAGATAGTAAAGTAGTTAAATTATGGTGTATCTTAATGGACAAAATGCCTTACAATCATTAAAGAAACACACAGGGATGCCTGCGTGGCTCAGTCAGTTGAGGGTCGTCTGCCTTTGGCTCAGGTCATGATCCCAGGGTCATGGGATCGAGTCCCACCTTGGGCTCCTTGCTTAGCGGGGAGCCTGCTTCTCCCTCTGCCTGCCGCTCCCTCTGCTTGTGCTCTCTTTCTCTCTGACAAAAATCTTTAAAAAAAAAAAAATAAAGGAACACACAGGAAAATGGTAACCTTCTATAGTGTAACTTGTAATTATTTCCATGAAATTCCAGATCTGAATGCCAAAACATTGATACAGTTATCCATGGCTGTTAAGGGGATTAAAAACAGTGTTCTATAATTTCTAAATACTCTATAATAAGTTTCTTTATAGAAGGATATATTTTTAAACATATGGCAAAGGCATAACTTTTGAATGTCCCGTCTACATCTTTGTCTGGGTCTACACTTTTCCTGTCCTTTGTTCTAGAAAGCCATTAAGCTTATCCTTGGCCAGGATTCTCACCTGGTAGCTTGCTAAGGGCCTGCTGGCCCTCGTGTTTCCCACCAGTTTCCTTTCTTTTTCCTTTCAGATTTAATGATGTGTATGTGTAAGGGTACAGACTGTTCTCTTTCCTTTGTTTTTCTGCTTGCGATTTAGTTTATTCCATCTTGGGCACTGTCTTTACACC